GCTAGTTAGACTCCCCACTGACACATCACAGGCTGATCCTCCAGGCCTCAGCTGAGGAGCGGGCTCGACGGTGGAGGGGGCTTTTTGTTTTTTGTAGAGAAATAAAGATGAGATGGGGTGGGGAGGGAGGAAGGGCGGGGAGATGCATTGACTTGACAGCTAACGATGGAATGCCTGGCTCTCATCCCCGGTGTGCTGGCCAGCACATGGATCAGCAGCTGCCAGAGTCAATATGAATCATAACCAATATTTGCCCACCGCGCTGACCTGCCATTATCTCCCCAAGTAATTCTGCAAAGAGATGCAGCTGCAACCCTTCTGCGATTCAAAGCCCTGCGTTTCTCTGCAGTAAAAGAAGTGATTGTTTTTTTTCTCTCCGTCCTACGTAGACTTCGAAGAGCCGGAGGATCCGTCGACGCGTTCCTTTTTCTCAGAAATCATCTCATCCATCTCCGACGTAAAGTTCAGCCACAACGGGCGTTACCTGATGACAAGGGACTACCTCACTGTCAAGGTGTGGGACCTCCAGATGGAGAACAAACCACTCGAAACCTACCAGGTAATGTATCCGTTTTCTCCATCGTCGGTCTAAAAAAGATAAGAAAAAAGAAACCTAATCTCAGCTGGGGAAGTTAGGAAGTTCCGTCTTGGCCCAGATCAAATCAAATCGTATTGATCTCAAGCCAATCAGTCAACATAATACTGTTTCACTGTCAGACTGCCGCGCCGTAACCTTGTCATCTTCAGCGATTACCCTAGGAGGGCTTATTGAACCAAGTATCCATTAGAGGGTAGCGCTAGTGCCGATGCGAGCCGAAGGGTAAAACCTCCCACTGTGTGGTCATGAGGGTCAGATCCACCTTCTCTGATGTAGGAAAGTAATCCTCCAGCAGGTCATGATTGATAAGGCCATCAGGGGATTCTTCCTCTGGCTTCACCTGCTGCCTAACGTCTTAGCAGGGGTCACCAGGCCTGGAGGATTACTAAAAGTAGAGCATAAGGCACTGGAGCTTAGGGTTGTTTTTTTTTAACTGAAAATCAACACAGTAACCAGTTTGTTTTATAGGTTCACGACTACTTGCGGGGCAAACTTTGTTCTCTGTACGAGAACGACTGCATCTTCGACAAGTTCGAGTGCGTCTGGAATGGATCGGACAGGTGAGACATCTCAATCGATCGTCAGAGAGACGGGTCGGTACAGATCCTTGCATGCATCGTTGTAACGCTCGCCTCGCTTTTACCCCCCTTCCCCTTCAGCGTCATCATGACGGGCTCCTACAACAACTTCTTCCGAATGTTCGACCGGAACACCAAGCGGGACGTCACGCTGGAGGCTTCGAGAGAGAACAGCAAACCCCGAGCGATCCTGAAGCCTCGCAAGGTACGACATGAACGTATTTGTTTTCTCAACGTATAACCAACTGTGGTAGAGTGTGTATTAAAAATCAGAACCAAAGTCTCTGCTTTAAAGCTTTTCTTACTGCCTTACAGCTACGCTGTAGTAGGGCTGCACAATAAGTCAATAATAACATGTATCGCAATTGGCCCGTGATCATTATCCGTAGATATTACGCCTGATGGAATGTTCAATATCTAATATTCACTGAATATTCAGAACTGAGATGTAGGCAGAGGAAAGACTTCAGTCGCTCAACCTCTCACTAAGCTAGGTTTGTGGCATCAACCAACTTACGCACTCTTTGGTTGTCTAGCAACAACTTGTCGAGTAACTCACGCAGCAGCAGTTCCAGGTTTCACCTCTTACTGCTTAAAAATAGAGGAAAAAAAAAACAACGGCGTGCAGTAAAAATTGTGAAAGAGCATGTCACCAGTTCGCCAGCATTTCATATACTTGAAAACAATTGAATAATTATTAATATCCACTGATATGAACTGTATAAATGGTCAGGCGTTTTTCGGCCATTTTGTCCAGACCTACGTTGTGCTTATTCTTTCAGCTTTATTGGTTAGATTTGGAACGATCAGGGCTAATCTCAAGGGAATGAGGCGAGTAAGGAAGGCCAAGCCTATTAAAGTGACTCTAAGTTTAGAGTTAGAGCAGGAATAAATCTGTTTCACTGCAGACAGCAGATCTCAAGTGTATTGAAATATGCTAAGCTTATAGACCATGACAATTAATTTTTTTCTGTATGTTGGCCTTTAATGTGACATGCAGAATGTCCTATGCAATCCTTACGAAAAACAAAACAAGTCTGTTAGGGGGAAAATCATTTAAAATACAACCTGTACTTACCTGGTCGTTCACAAAACAACACTGAAAAACACAGGACAAATAATTATACATATTTAGATCCAGTTGCAGCAATTGGTCATATTTGATACACACCTAATACAGTAAATGTGATTACTGAAAAAGCTTCAACTGTGCAGAGAGATTACAAAGGCAAAGGAAACAAAAAACTGATTAAAGACCAGATGGAAACTGTTCAGGAAGTCTGCAGAGTCTGACAGCAGCACTGAAGGAGCTGCAGGAAGTTCTGCCATCTACTGGTCGTGGGCGACATGTGACAACTGGGACTTTGATAAGACCAGTTCACACATCTAACATCAAAAAATGTTAGACGTGTGCCAGGAAGCTGAAAGTTATTTAATTTAATGGTGGGATTTTTTTATTAATAACCAGGGTCAGATAGAGGATGTGAAAAATGGCTAATAGAAGAGTTTTTTTTGTTTTTGTTTACAAGTAATCACTTTTATTGGTTGGAAGGAAATAAAAAGACTTTCGAGACCAAATAAACTGAAAAAAAAAGATACTAAAAAAGTTAGGAAGCTGTCTGCCTTTTATTAACACAAAGGAATTATTTTGCATTTTAAGTTAGAAAAATAATACTGAATAAATGAGTACTTTAGATTTAGGTATTCTGGACCATGTTACAAAAAGTTTGGACACCATTGTTACAATAAATAGTGAATTTATCTAGCATTCAATTAATTAAAAAAAACCTAAAAAATAAAATAAATAAATAAAAATTTTAACCCAAAAATTGCCTCAAATGTAAGATGCTGTGTGTGTGAAAACGTCTGACTGCCCCTCCGCCCTCCAGGTGTGTGTAGGTGGGAAACGTCGCAAGGATGAGATCAGCGTAGACAGTCTGGACTTCAGCAAGAAGATCCTCCACACGACGTGGCATCCGCATGAGAACATCATCGCCGTGGCGGCCACCAACAACCTCTACATCTTCCAGGACAAAGTGAACTAAAAAAAAAAAAAAAAAAAAAAAAAGACAGCCTGCCCCAAGTTATGAAGCCTCCCAGGACCCAAACATAATGTGAGGGGCTGCTGTCTTAAATCCCTGTCCCTCCCCAACCCCCCCCAAAAAATCCCCCCAGACTCTACTTTACGAGAGTCGTGTGTCCAAACACTGATGTGAGAAAGTGGACAGTGAAACGGACACAATTTGAGGAAAAGGCTTCATTCCAAGAAAATGACTCCTAATTTAAGTAATTCAGCAGAAGGATCGAATCCCGCGCGTTTATGCAACACGAAGGACCGCTGCATGAGTGATGTTATGTAGCAGCCCTCTGGACCCTGAAGACACAGGCGGATAGGGGAGCGCTGAATTTTCAAACAGAGCACAGAGACAGAAAGCCAGCTCACGTGACGGCGGCTCTTCTTCATGTAGCGTCGGCGCCCGGTCCCCTCGAACCCCCGGCGGTCCAGCCCGCTCCAGCTGCAGCGCATGCGATGACCCCTGCGGCCTCCGTCTGAGGTCGAACACGGGAAAACGCAAAAAGAAGAAGAGACTGTTAATAATGCCTGACCCCCCCTACCACTCCCAGAAACTGCACGCAGCTCGGTCAGTCTCACCGGTTTCCCGTCTCCTTGCCGAGACGTTTGCAGTCTGCGACGCGAATGAAGCCCTTCCAGGCGGCGCGAGTCGATGGTTTCGTTTAAAGCCGTTCGTTTCGTCCTTCTCTCGGTCGGTGAGTTTGTGTAGAAGCTGTGGTGCCTTCTTTTGGTATGTGGGGCTTCGATGTACTTGGGTGTGGGAGGGAGGGGAAGGGACTGTGTGAATGTTTTAAATTAAATGTTAACTTAGAGTGTTTTTTTTTTGTTGTTGTTGTTTCTTTTTTCCTTTCTTTCTTTACCAATGAAAGTGAACGTAAGAACAAAAAGGCTTCATTAAGATTGCAAATGGACAAAGTTTTGCAAGTAGTAACAAGGAGGGGACGACGCTGTGTTTTGTGCAGAGGAGCCGCTGCGTGTTGGATGTTCACGATTGCTCAGAGAAACGATAAAGCCACAACTTCTTCTTTTGGAGATTTTTACTTTTAAAAAAATGAAACTGAACTCTTTGCTACACGTCGCCCTGTTTGGATAGCATTGAAAATAATTTATAGGCAAAAGGATCACAAAAATCTTCAGCTTTATGATTTGATAGGACCTTAAAGTAGACCACGTGGGCGTCACGGTGCCACATTAGCTTCTTTTGCATGTGCTGGATGTGAATCTGTTGAAACTGGCAGATCATTTGAGGCACTGCGCCATGAATGTTATTTTTTGTTGTTGTTTCTCCCCAAAAGATGTCAGCTGAAATCAGTTTTGTATGAGATTGTTCCGACACTTGTGCATGTCTGTCCTCTGGGTGAAGATGGGACAACGAAGACGAGCAGCGGCAGGTCGCCTCGCAGAAATCGGCTTGGATCCTCCTCCGGTTTCGGTGCAAAACGGTCAGAAGCGTATGTGGACTCTGTGAAATCAGGGAATATTTGTGTGAGTCTGTTTAACGGTGATATCTTCTAAACCGCTCCTCCTTTGTGACACTTCTAATTGAAACAAACCAACTTTTATAGCTCAGAATGTATCGAAATGCATTGAATTACCATGCAGTCTTTATGCTTACTGGACTTACTTTGAATAATAAAAAGGAGAAAAAGAATAAAGATTTGCAAGCTGAATGCCTGTTAGTGTGGACTCTTATCTGTAAACTCTGTTCAATCAAAGATCACAGCTGTACCTGCAATGGGTTGACTAAGATCAGCCTCTGATGTAATGTCTCCCTCTGGTGGAGAAAGAGTGGAAAAGGGTTTTTGGCTACTCATTTCTGTAAATTGCCAGCACAGACTTGTGTGACTTTTATGAGAAGGGAGGAAAATTATCTGCTGATTTAATTTAAAACTCCTGCTTCCCAGAAACAATACCTCAGAGAACCAACTGATGAATTTGTAGCTGCAAGACTACAATCTAATTTTTTAAAAATGTTTGCTTTTTAATTTAAATCATTTCACTGTAGCTCTGGCTGCATGATTGCAGTAAATCATAAGGGTGAACTAAAGCGTGGGGTATTGCTTTATGAACTGTTTATGACTGTTTTGGACTTTCATACATGTGTCTGCTTTGTTGCTTGTTTTGCTGTTTGTTCAGTTTTTACAGAACTCCTGGATTTATATTGGAATCGCATCCGACACCAGGAGAATAAGGTAACTGGATACAAATGCATTTCAGCTCCCATTTGATAACTATGCACTCCTGTGTGTCGATGTACCACAACTACAACCTGAAAACATTTCAGGTTATAGTTGTAATGTAACAAAGTGTAAAGAAGTCCATAGGTAATAAATATATTTGATGTATGTCTAATGCTGGCTTATGTTTTATTTAGTGGTTTAGTGTTCTTTAGCATAGTGGTTTTGTGCAAAACATATAAAATTTAAGCATCATTACCACTTTGTCCTTTTTTTTCCTCCCTAATTGGCCCCATGTGGGTGTAGTCTGCATGCTTTTAGCCAGCTGGGGACGGCAGCTGTCAATCAAGCAGCGTCTTTATAACTCGCTGCAGGGGCTGCATCTCTGGGTCTAAGGATAAAGCCAGGCGCTTGCAAGAGCTCCACTCTGAACTCCTGACTGCCAGCTATTAACTTGTCTGATGTGATCTTTTCAACCTTTGATCTCAATCCATTTCCGTCTTTAGATTGCCTAATTTCTTTTTCCTCTCTAAATTCTCAGATTTTCTTTTTGTCATCAGATCATCGACTCTTCGAGATCTATGGATAAGCTCGTTGGAAACAACACGACGACGGAGAACAGCTCCTTGAACAAGTGGACGCTCAATGAACCAGGCTTGTTCCACCATCGGGACTCCAGCGAACTCCGGGTCTTGGTGCCAGCCATCCTGGGAGTCATCTGTGTTTTAGGTGTGGCGTGTAATCTCACCGCAATGGTCATCCTGTTCTCAAACGCCCACCGGGGCAAACTGTCCCTCATCAACTCGCTCATCTTCAACCTGATGTTCGCCGACGGGCTGGTGCTGGTGTTCACCGTCCCTTTCAGGGCTGTCTCTTACTCCAGGGCGAGCTGGAGCCTGGGGTGGGTGGTGTGCAAGACGGCCGACTGGTTCCTCCAGTCCTGCATGGTGGCGAAGAGCCTCACCGTGGCTTTCATGGCGAAAGCCTGCAGCCGATACGTGTCAAACCCCACCAGGCAGGTGAGCATCCACCTGGGCTCCATCCTGGTGGTGCTCTTCTTCATCTGGTTGTCTGCCTGCTCCGTCACCGTTCCACTGTGGCTGTTCGCAAAGCTGCAGAGAGAGGTCCGTGGGCTTGTGTGTGTGCTGATGTTTCCTCCTGAAGCGAAAGAGTTCATGTCTGTGTACGTCAAAGCGTACCCCTTAGGGGTCTACTGTGCACCACTCAGCTTTGCCCTGATGTACTTCTGGAAGGCTTACGGACACTGCCAACATCGCTCCAGTAAGTCTCAGAACCTGCGCACGCAAATCCGATCCAGGAGGCTCACCCTGATGCTTTTCAGCCTGACCCTGGCCATGGCTGTCCTGTGGCTTCCTCAGTGGGTGGTATGGCTTTGGGAGAGGCATCTTGCAGAGAAGGAAACTGAAGGAGCTCAGCCACTGACTTCCTCTCCTCCCCTTTTCCTCGCCCTCTCTGCTCAGCTGCTCACCTTCTCTCTGTCGTTGGTGAACCCTCTGATTGTCCTCTTCCTCTCGGAGGAGTTCAGAGAGAGTTACCAGGGGCTGTGGAGGCGCCTCACCCTGCGCAAGCAGCCACCACCTAAGCCAAAGCCCGGACCCCACAATCCTACCTCTCTCCAGTCCCCTTGCCCCAGACCGGAGACTTCCGGACAGCTGATTGGAGAGAGAGGGATCCATTTCAGCTCCAGCCAGGAAACTAGCGGCAAGGCTCAACCTCCACCAGACCGAGGCAATCCTGGCGGGGAAAAAGAGGTGGACGGGGTGAGCCTTAAAGACGGGGTCGTCTTGCCTGATGTGGAACAGTTCTGGCAGGACAGGGAGACAGGCTCGCACATGGGTGAAAACGATCCGGTGCCGTGGGAGAACCAGACCCAAGAAGAGAATAAATAATAACCAGCCAATCGCCCACACGCCTCCACCAAATGCTGCGACGTAAATGAATGATGTTCTGTCTTCTGTGTGTGCAATATTGTTCAAAGGTAAGATGTGCAATCGGAACAAGTGAGACCCACAAATAGAGCAGCATCATCTGCATATGTGATAAGCTTTTGCAGTTTGTGAGGTAATTATTAGTGCCTGTAAATTAAAACTTTATGATAGGATAAAATCATTTATACAAACTTTCTTTCCACGTAGAGTCCGTTCCAAAACAAAAAAACAAACAACAAAAAAAAAAAAGCAAAAAGCAGCTGGCTCAAAGTGTTTGCAAATAATTTCGACAATAATTTCAACCTCTACTTAAAGCTCAGTGTGTAAAATTCTTCCTTTAATGAACTAAATATTTAAACGTGCATTTGTTGTTTTTAGAAAGTGGTTTGCATGCAGCCGTTGATGTGACAGTAATTGGTCTCAGATTTATTCGCAACGTGTCCCTAAATGGAAGCTGTTTTCAATAAATACGCTGTGAAAATGTGGTCTGGCTTTCGGCTTTTGTTTCGATTTGTTGCTGGTCCTCACACAGGTACAGTGAAGTCTTTGTGGGATTGATTCCTGATGACATTTAATCAGTGACTATTTTTTCACAGGGGTTCTAATTAAAGCGCTCAGATGAGATGTCGGTGGTGTCTCTTGTAATTGTGGCATGCGGTAGAAAGCAACCTATCTGTGGTTCACCTATAGGCATAATCAAAGATATTGTCTTTTAATTCATACTTTGAATCATTTAGTTCTAAAAACCGTTGTCAGTTACCCAACAACTCCTATTTTCTCACTCCCTTCCTACCTGACATTTCCCCCCTCATTGATTATTTATGCTGACCTTTTATTGCCAGAGGCAACTCAGTCAATCAGAGCAACGCTTAACTGTATAACCCATCATCAGTCCCTGGGGTTCCCGCCTGCCCATAAACACTGAAGGTAGAAGAAAATGGTTCACACATTTAGCCCTAGCCAGAAAAAAAAAAAACTCCCCCTCACCCCCATCAGCTGCAGATGAGAAATAAAAGTGTTGTTGCTGTATGTTTAAAGACAAAACACAATATGGTGGTTGTCCCCAAGCTATCTTGTTTACACCTCTGGCCCCGGCATTCGCCCTGCTAAATGAGCCAGTAAATCTGTAGTTGTGGGATTTTATCCAATTTCAGCAGAGAGCCTCGGAGCTAGGAGGCACCGAGCCCCAAAAAGTACAAATTAGATCCGTGTTTCAGGCTTTGACCTGAGCAACAAAAGCTGAAGCTCCAACACCGTCATTGATAATCGGTGTGAGGTTTGTCCAAATGAGGCGCCGGGTATTCTGGTCGAGCATCTCTAGTTTGGCCTCCTTTCTTGCTATTCATGCAGATGGACCTTTGCACGTGAGCTCTGTTTGAATTTTGTCAGGGAGGAGACGTTTTCCTGAGGAAGCCCTTGCAAACATGCATATTCATTGATTCACGGCCATTGGGAAGATGCTAAACTTGCATCGCAAACTTTCCAAAGTTGAGGTATTTTTCTCACGTCAGTGCTGATGTTTTACCATCTTGAAATTTATGATGCGGAGCAGCAAAATGCCTTGACTCCTGCTTCCTTTATTTGTTTGGTGCCTGTATCTGTCGATTAAATAAAACGGTGTGGATTTGTGTGTGTGTGTTTTTTTTTTTTTTTACACTTGACTTCAGTTTTAAATAATATTAACTTGCTAGTTAAAGCACAGTTTTACTTGTTTCTGTACATAAAATCAAAAAGGGTGTACTTTATTTCAGCTATCAACGTATTTTTAAATAATACGTTTTTGATAATGTCTTACAAAAGAAGTTAAAGCACCAGTCCAGAAATGTTACTCAGACACAGTTTGAAATATTTTCTTCATTCAGTATAATGAAGAGCAATAAGGATACTACTACTCTGCATACCTGCTTCTACGGGAGCAGTAGCATTTGGAGTTCAATCACTGAAAAACACAAAATTTTACCAAGTAATTTTAATCCAGTTTCTATTGCAAATATCGAAGTATTCTTGAAATAAAACAAAACTGACTTACAGGTAACTTATCCCCAATGGGGGCTTGTTTTAAGTAAACAATTCCTTAATGCAGGTGAAAAAGTATTAGTTCTATTGTCAGATAATTGCACTTTTAACAGGACATTTTTTCGCATGTTGCAAGTGATATAATCTGTCAGTGGAACTAGTACTTTTTCACCAATATTAAGAAACTGTTGGCTCAAAACAGGGTCCTATATCTTGCTTATAAGTCAGTTTCGTACTCTTTCAAGTCTACTGAGACATTTTCACTAGAAACCAAACCAAAAATACTGTTTTGTTTTGTGTTTTTATGACGACAGGTGAGCATTCCTGTAACTTTTTCACATTTTCAAAAGCGGTGTTTACTTTTGGATACACAAAGTGTTTTGGAAGCGGGCCCAAAAAAAGTTAGACCGAAGATCTCCCCTGACCAGCTTGTCCCTCCTCTCATTTGCTGCTCTCCTTCGGGACAAACTTTCGACAGGACGTCTTTCAACAAGGACAGTAGTTGTCCTCCTAACCGAGCTGTGGATCTCTGCAGCTCCTCCAAAGTTGCTGTGGATGCCTGTGGCAGGTTTTCTTCCATCTATTTTTGTCTGTCCACCGCAAAAAACGCAACAAAACACATTGAAGATTTTTTTGGGGGGTTATAACATAGAGAGTGTAGAGATTCAAGGAGCATACATGTGCTTAGGATGATCTGCAGATGTTTATATCCCAGCTGGAGCACAGAATGACCATTAAGGACTGAAAGCCTCGCAGAAAGCTGGTGCTAAAACACTTTGCGAGCGGGAAAAAAATACAAGCCCAGCCTAATTGGGTCATTACACGAGGCAGGGGAGCTTTCAGCAGGTGAGATTCTCCCTTTGCTGCGTCTGCAACCTGCTGAGAGGAGACGCGGGGGTCTCATCCCTGTGTTTTATCCCCCAGCCAGTCATCATCTCTAATAAATGAAACTCTACTGGAAGTGACACGCTAATTATGCTCACCAGGAGAAGCTGGCTGCAATTAAGCCACACGATGAAAACCTTTTTTTGGCTTGTCAAACCTTCACCCTCAGTCACAGTTGCTGTCACCTCCCTTTTGCCCCCAAGAGGAAATAGCAATAATAAAAAGCGGGCGGAGTCTTGTGGCGCTGCAGGTTCTGGCCTCTGGTATTTAACAATCTTTTGATTAGAATAAATCATAGGCTCTTTCATCTCAGTAAAGGCTGCAGACATCTAAAGGGCAGGAGCATTCCAAAGTTTCCACCTAAATAGCAGAGAGGTTAAATCATTTAAACCTGGCAGCGTGTGTGGACACCTGCAGGACAACTGAGGGTACTGACATAGAATAGTTTCAGGAGCGACAAGTTTGTGCGTACAAACTACAAAAAATGTGTTTGGAAGTATTTCACAGACTGACACAGGAAGACGTTTGTACATTTGTGTGTTTTTTTATTTGATGTCCAGTTTCAGAATGCATTGGCGGCATCCATTTGCATAGGTCAGGTGACAAGGTAAGTCATGCCATTTGACAGAGTTATTTCAACGGAATAGGAATATTACCACATTTTTGAGAAAATAGTTGGATGAACGACTTTACATTTCGAAGCCTGCAGTTTCCCTAAATTTGTTCGTTTTTCTAGAAGTTCTTACACACTTATCGTTTGTGATCATTACAATCGTTGTTGTTTTGGTAGACTACTTGAATGGCTCAGTTTAACTATTACCAGAAGTGAACAGAAAAAAAAGAAAAAATCATCAGATTGTCAGAGTCGAAATCAGAAACTAGAAGTTATTTGGGATGAAACGGGTACCTTAAAATGACACTTTGTTATTCAACTTGGAAAATGTTTCATTGATGATGTGATTATTTTGATTATTGTGGAATGGCCGACGACTCTTTGATGTACACCTGCAACATGACAACAACAACAACAAAATTAAAATAAAAACAAAGACCTTTACATTTCTTAACATTGATCATTTATCCTAGTTACAGCATGCTTGTGAGATTTTTGCGGCTATCCTGACGCTACCCAGAAGCCATTTATTACCCATCATCATTCACATGTATGAAAGTCTCATGTTTTCTAAGTATAAGACATTCTGGGTTGATAAGATTAGGAGTACCGCGTTTGGTACGTAGGCTGAACTGTAAACATTATTTTTCTATTCTTGAATAAATACTTGAAACACTTTCCATTCACAACAAGCACACCCAAGTGAAAATAATATTAATTAAAAAAAATAAAATAAAATAAAATTCACAGCTCTGGTGGTTTCACGTGAAGCAGACACGTTCATTTGCAAACTGCTAGTGAGGCTTTAGATCTTCGACTCGAAACATCTATTCTGCAGTACCTCAGTGCACGTTAAGTAGATACACAATCAAGTATTTCGCATAATCCACAGTACTGCAGACTGGAATAAAAGCAGCACTCGGCAGTCCAGTTCTGGATCAAGAGGTGGTCCCAGTTCCTTCCTGAGCTTCCAGTTTAAACTCTGCAAAGACAAGGTGCAAAAATAAGAAACTGACATGAACAAACATATCAACTACTGTGCTTTCCATAACTATTCCAACTCATTAAGCTTTTGTATGGTTTACTGGAACATCAAATGTCTTATTATTGGGATTTTGTCTCAGCTTAAAAGACGCAGTGCACAATTGTGACACATCTGCGCATTTGACCCACTTCACGTATATACACTACTTTATGTTGGGCCAGTCACAAAAATCAAAAACAAACTGAAGTTTGTTGAAGTATAGAGGTCTAACAGTTTAATCTTAGAGCTTAATAATTATGACTTCTTGTTGCAAGACTGTTTTCAAAAACCTTCACCTCTTTGGCATTTTCTGACCAGCAGATGGAGCCAAAGCGTCATTTCGTCGCAGCACCTTATTTGCAGGCTGGGGATTTTTCACATGAACAATATGGTGATCCTAAATTAAGAAAAAGAAAATATATATATGCGTATTTATTTATTTATTTTTCTACTGCGTGTAACAAAATAAGTTCTGATGTTTACACAAACGCGTGCTCAAACGGACTTACCGCACTCTGCCTGTTGACTGGACAGGGTGGCGGAGGTCTCTTCGGGGGGTCCGGTCGCACCTGCCTTGTCGGGTTTTGAGAAGGTAAAGATGGAGGCCCTGGACATGTTGGGGACGTCTGGCTGGGTCTGGGTCCAGCGTCCTGAGCTGCCGTAAAGAGAGGCGGGGTGTGTCCCTGAGGAGATGTTTGCTTCTGAGGAGGACGAGCTGCAGGTGGGAAGGGAGCCGGCGGCTTCTTTCTGATGTCTTTGTGCTGGCCAGCGTAGGCAGGGATGGGCGGGGGCTTCACCGCCGGCCGCACGATCGCCTGTCTGGGTCTCCCTGGGCACGACGGGCTCGGTTGAGGTGTAGACTGTCCGCGTTAAAGAAAACAACAAAGTTCAAGGACTTCTACCGAGACGCGACGCGTCACACACTCACATCGCCGTCATTATGCACACGAATGTTCTTAATTACCGAATCCGGCTTCACTAGGAACGTTGGGTTGGCATGACTGATGACGTGAGAATCAGTCTCCATGGATTTACCTTCAGCTGCATCTGAACATCTAAAAAGATCAATCAACCACAGCGGCTACAAATACAACATAAAACTCGGAAGGGAACGTCACATATCAACAGCTGTTGCTGTAAATCTTTGGTATTTATCGTTGTGAAGTTACATACTTTGGCACTGGCAGTGGAGGAAAGGCCTTCAGTGGGCCGAGTCTACGTTTGTAGCAGAACCAAAGTCCGAAAGTAGCCAATACCACGAGGAGAAGCAGGAAAAGCACCAGCGGCAGTAGGATGCCTGTTATTGGAGTGCAACGATAGAGAGCAAGCAAAAACATTCAGTACAGGACGAAGACTTCATTTTCTGGGAATAAAGTTATACAATATGGCAACAGGTGAAACCTCAGTTGGGTTCTGTACCTGGATTCCTGGCAGGTCCGCTGTCCAAACTCCCCCCAGACCCACTCTGGTTGCACCAAGGTGGAGCCCAGCCCGGGTAGCAGTGGCAGTTATGGTTGTTGTTGCACAGCTGGAAAGAGGAAAAACGTGAAACAAGGGTCGCTACTGCCCTGAAAACATCAGCCTTTATTCCAGCCACAGTCAAACACTGTTTTTCAAACAGTGTTTGACTTAGAATATTGGAAATATAAAAGTTACATGTCTGAAAATGACTGAGAAGTTGGACAAATGATTTATTCCCTTTGAAGCATTTTAGAGATATAAGCCTAATCAAAGTTGACAATAAAAATACAAATTTAGAAAATATTTTTAGGGTGTGTCTGTTGCCTCCTCTCTAAATTCTCCTCTTAGAGATTTTAATTGAAAAATTTTCGGTGATTGTTAAACGACGACATTATGGTAACAGCATGTAACACTGGGAGCATTTTGGAGAAAAGAAACAAGCTCCCACAGAGTCCATCCAAGTCCATAAACATGTTCACCTTTGACACTCCTGCTTGATTTTGCTCATAATGAAAGCAAAAACAAGAAACTGCCATTTTATTCCTGAATTTTCCAATAACGAGAAAGATTGCCCCAAATTTTCCAAATTTCATTTTATCATTTCAATGCGACTCTACTATTGTGCACG